ATATTATTAGTGACCTCGCGAAATAAAGTCCACAAAATTCGTAGATAATCTCTCGCGAAATGTAACACCACGAAATCCGTGAACAATATCGCGAAGACACAGCCACTAATTTGGCTGGCTTCTATATTAGCGCTGTCATTTCACAGAATAACACTCCACCAAATCTGTGGGTGTGCATGAAACCGCTGACGAAGCTGATCTGGGCTGAGGGAGTCTCCTGAGCTCCCACGAGGCTTCGCCGCTGTCTTTGACTGGCTTTGTTTAAATCACACTGCACTAGTATATTTAATGAATCCACTGGTTAACTGGTTCATCCGGTACTAAGATGACCAAATGTGGGTTCAAAGGATCAAATAATCCGTCATCCGGTTCGAAGATGACCAAATAATTCGGTTTCGAAGGACCAAATAATGTGGGAACCGACCTGTGAGATTTATATTTATTTAATTTATATGAATTTATATTTAGAATTTATATTTACGTTAATTTATATACTTCGATAGCAATTTGTATAATGATAAGTGGACTGTATTTCTGCAATAATCTCATAATCTCACAAATCGATCCTCTACACATTAGGGGGGGTTTATTAGTTTATATATATGCAGCCAATCAAACTGCAGAATTAACTACATACATTGAAAAGGTTCCTTATCTTATAGTACAGCAGGTTAGTCCACCAGGTATAACTAGGGTGTAGACACCAAATTATCCTCTTTGAGGTAGCTTCCATATCACCCAGTAACTGGTGCACAAATCTTCCTTCCTCGTCTTGACCTGTCAAAAGTGCGCTAGCTGTGAAGCCAGAATCCTATATATGACAAGCTATATCAGAGAAAACACTATACAGTACATGGAACAATAAAGACCTGGCTTAATTACCTTTAGTATGAGGCGATTTCGCGTTCTAACCGGACAACCCTACCCAATGACATTAATGGCCACTAATGATAGATAATGGGTTTCGGAAAGAACACTTAACTTGAATTGTAGACATCGTGTTGGAGATGGTACCTTTGGTTTCCATAACACTACGTCCAAGTAAAATTAACAGGAGCCGAATTTGCTCCCATGCCTCTGGTCTCAATATAAACAATGGCTGTTTAACACTCCATACTATTGACGTTACTGGCCGACATTGTCCAGATATGATAGGAGCCCAATTTGCTCCACACGTCTCGGAGGTGACACAACAATGGCTGCCCTCCTTCCTCACCCTGACGCCTGGCTTACATTGTCCACATTTCAGAAAGTGATAGAAGGGTCACATTTACTCTACTTTAATATTGATAATTAAGTTAATTTATATAAGATGTTTTTATGATGGTAAAGTCCAAAGACTAATGTATTTAAGAATAATTCCCAGCAGAATAGCTGGTGAACTATAATAGTATGTGGTGATGATATCCCGTTTTCTTTAGACTGTAATTCCACTACAAGTTACGTTTTCTATGGGTAACTTGTTTATACAACACAGCTATTATCTGTATGATATATTAAATGGTGTCGGATTTTCTGACACTAGAAGAGATGTAAGCAAATAAAATTGAAATCGTTCACATAAAATAACAAATAAGTACAGTAAAATGGTGAGATGATACTTAACGATGAAATGCATAGACTATTACATTATGGAAATGCATAGACTATTACAAACGATATCAAAAGTATCCAAGTCACCAAGTAAGTAATTATCAATAGAAGGCACCAAACCGGGAAGGCTATGTAGCACCATCAAATGCGCAGAATAATCAGAGGGCGCTAAATATCACCAAGAATGCCAATACGAGAACAAAAACGCATAAGGCGAACGATATCAAAAGTATCCGAGTCACCAAGAATTCTATTGAGGGACAGGTGACCGCGAGGGGCGGTCGGAAAGCAAGACACACGCTCGTCCTGGAAGTCAGGACATTCAAGAAGGACATGCACGACCGTAAGAGGGACAATGCAACTAGGACAATAAGGAGCAGGGCGGCGCTCCATCAAGTGACCATGGGTTAAGCGAGTATGGCCAATACGCAACCTCGCCAGAGCTGTTTCCCATTGCCGGTTACGGTGGTAGGAGGACGGCCACGAGGAAACACAACATTTAAGAGTACGTAGTTTGTTACCAGTAACAGACAACCAAGAAGCCTGCCAACGGGTAAGGATGGAGGAATGGATAACCAGGTAAAAGTCGGAATATGGAATACTTTTACGAGAGATGGGACAAGAGCGAACAGCTTCCTTGGCAGCAGCATCCGCACATTCATTTACAGACACAAATATGGCTGGGAACCCAACAAAACTCAACCAACTTAAATTTACTGTGAATAAGAAACAGCCAATGCAGGATCTTAACAACTACTGGATGAACCGGATTAAAGGACCCGAGAGCCATGAGGGCACTACGAGAGTCAACAACAACTACAAAGGAAGACTGACAACGAGAAAGCAGGAGACGAAGAGCATAGAGAATAGCATAAAGCTCCGCTGTGAAGATGCTAGTCTCCGGAGGTAAGCGACACATATAAGTGCGATCAGGAAAAACAACAGAGTAGCCAACACCGTCCGCTGACTTAGACCCATCGGTGAAGACAGAAACGGAGCGGGAGTGAGAAGAAAAGTGCTCAAGGAAAAGGCGTTTTGCAACCGTAGGAGGAGTAAAAGCTTTAGTGAAGCGGGTCAAGGATGTACAAAACTGCGGGAGGGGGACTCTCCACGGGGGTAAAGAAGGAACAACACGAGGAGAAACATTAGAAATACGAACGGAAAGAGAATCCTGTAAGCGAGATAACCGGACAGAAAGAGGGAGGTGGTGAAGAGGAACAGGAACCGGAGGGGTAAAAGTTAAAGCACGACAGAGGCGAGAGGATGGATGTTGTAAGGACCGTGCAAGATAGCGAAGACAGTAGCGATCACGGCGGTCCTGGAGAGACAGGAAGCCAGTGTCAACATACAAGCTAAGGACGGGAGTCGAACGAAAGGCACCAGAGCTGAGGCGCAACCCAGTATGGTGCAAAGCATCAAGACGGCGAAGAGTAGAAGAAGCAGACGAGTAAGCAGGGTAACCATAATCGAGCTTAGACAGGACGAGAGAGGAATGTAAAGCAAGGAGAGTGCGCCTATCTGCTCCCCAAGAAGTATGGGACAAGACCCGAAGGAGGGTAAGGGCCTTAGAGCACTCAACACGGAGGTAAGAGATATGGGGAGACCAAGACAAACGAGTGTCAAGGAATAACCCCAAAAGCTTCGCGGAATCTTTGTACTCAAGGGGATGACCATAAAGTGACAAAGAGGGACGAAGAACAACCCGTTTCCGAGTAAAAGTCATGGCACAAGTCTTAGTAATAGAAAACTTGAAGCCATGATCAGTGGCCCAAGACGACACGGCATCAATCACAAGTTGAAGCCGGCGTTGAAGGAGAGGCGAATCATCACCCTGACAGCAAAGGGTAAGATCGTCGACATAAGAGTGCGGAGAAGACGCATGAAGGAAGGTGGCTATAGTAGTTTCTCTCATTATACTACTTGTTATTCTGTTCCTATCGTACATGCAGTATCCGATTATTATTATTATTTCAGTATTATCCAGTAATATTATCCAGTACTATTTCAACCACTGGAAATTACCTCATGCCTATCATCAAACAACAAAAATCTGCTATCAGAACTATAACAAACTATATTTTCAGACAACACACAGTCCATCTGTTTAAATCCCTAAATATGCTAAACATATACTACTCATTACCCACATTCTCTTGTGTTATTTACATGTACAATATCTTGTTCCTAAATGCTAATCTTGATATGAAACATTTTCATGATAGGTGTAATATAGAACCCATGAGCACCACACCAGAAATAAATATGTCTATGATACTCCCAGAGTCAACTAAGTCAGTGCAAACGCTCCATGCAAATAAAAGGACCAAATCTATGGAACTCGATCCGTAATGAATTAAAAGATTGTCCAACCCATGCCTTATTCAAAAGTAAAACCAAAAAGTACCTAATTTCATCCCCATAGTTTCCAACCTGGTGCTTCAAACTCACTACATCTTTTGTGACCCACTTCCCCAATATTAGTACAGTACTTAACAAATATATCTTCACCAGTGTAGTCACCTATGTCAATTTATATTGTTGTTATACGTATGTCGATGTAAAATTTTGCAGCAATGTATCATTTTATCTTACCTGATATGTTAGATTAAGGACCTGCCTGAAATGCTATGCATGTTAGTGGCTTTGCAAGAATGTAAAAATAACAATCTTATGTAATCTCACAAACCCGTTGTACCTTCTTGTAAATACTGTACAAATTATTATTAATATTTTTATTTCCAGAATCCAATTGTGGGGTTCAATCCCTGAGCCCATTATGTGCCTCTGTAACCCTTTCCACTACCGCCCACAAGATGGGTATGGGGTGCATAATAAATGAACTAAACTAAAAAGAATCCAAGAACACATTAAGCAGATTTAAAAATACATGTTGCCAAGAAAAATCTGTGTAAATCACCTACCATATGAAGTCAACATCATGATACAAATTAGCCAACTGAGACATTTCTGAGAGTATATCTCTATACACATCCGCACAGTTGCTACTGCTGGTGAAAGAAGGTATGTACACACACACGATCAAATAATGCCAAGCAACATTGGAGATAAGCTCCAGGTAGTACAGTTGGCTTTGTTCTCGACTCACAATCGAGAATTCCGGGTTCGAATCCAGAGAGACAAAAATTGTTGGACGCGTTTCCTATCACCTAATGGCCTTAGCAGTTAATAGGTACCCGGGAGTTAGTCAGCTCATTGTGGGGTTGCATCCTGGGAAGGGTCAGTAATTTGACCCTGAAGGAGATCTTGATAAAATCCTAATATGTACTTTATGTCTATACTGGCTGCCTGTCCACAGACACAGAATTTAAATACAGCTGTAGTGAGCCCTGATACAATACTTACAATGTAATACAATAATTACATTGCATGTTATAGTACAAATGGCACTAAGTACCACCATAGGGTCTTCCAGGACCTGACCAGTCATCAAACATTTCAATACTGGCAGTATAAAAAGAACCATCTCCAAATTTGGAGAAGATTTCAAATTCATAACATTTAATCCAGTGATCTTGCAAAACAAGAATATAACACATACCAAAAAGTTTTTGGATATTTGTATCTACAGCACAAATTACTTCCTCAATTACCTTAATAACTAGGAATTTTAACTTTACAAACACCAAAGCACTGTCATAGGGTAAATAAACAACAACAACAACAATAATAATAATAATAATAATAATAATAATAATAATAATAATAATAATAATGATATTTTATTTAGGAAAAGTATATACATAGATGCAGAGTTACAAACATTCTGAATGATTTATAGATAGAGCTAGTGCATACAATACCTAAAGCCACTAGTATGCATAGCGTTTCGGGTAAGGTGAGGTGGGGAAAAAACACTTAGACTAAAACTTAATAGCAATTGAGCTTAAAGTATAAATTGATTTGAAAGAAAAATAATAGAAGATAAAAAACCAGCGTTGAATGTAACGAAACGCCATTTTCTGGGTGAGTCCCGGAGGCTCCCCGGAGCTATCCCAGGCTGATATGCTAATGTCAGACTTTGGCATTAGTCATGTGTATGGAGTTCTTAGGCCTACCGGGGACCACGGCCAGAACCAGGCCCCCTCAGAGAGGCAAGAGGAGCAATGGCCTATAGAAGCCCTCGTGTGGTTGGAAGCATTCTATGTCTGCCATCGACCGGAACAGGCACCCAGCAAGGTAAGTGCCTCAAAACAAACCCCTATTCTGGTTAAAATTGCTACCAAAAGCCGAACTAGTGGCTAGAACTCCCCAACAGAAAACAAGCAAACTAGTGTGACGTCACATGCCGCCGCGCCGCTGTCTGTGCAGCTCCCCCCTCCCTGGGAGGGGGAAGGGGGAGCCCCAAACCCTCCACGCCGGCTACCCACACCTCAGTTCTTGAGGCTGGATGTCAAAAACGCGGAAAAAAAACGCCGACTGGAGGGAGGGAGGGATGCCGGGGAGCCTCTGGGACTCACCCAGAAAATGGCGTTTCATTACATTCAACGCTGGTTTTCTGGGGGGAGCCCTGTCAGCTCCCCGGAGCTAACTACCCACAGACGGAAAAAAAAGAGGGACTTACCCGGGAGGCGGTCGTTGCTCACTCCTCAACTCGAAGCCGAGACAACTGGCTGCAACAGCCAACCCAAAGCAACACAGGCCCGACGAGGCCCAGGGACATTCACAAGGTAACGAGCAGCCAGGACCCTGTTTGACTGCCAAAATCCCCGCGCCCGAATATCAGACCAAGACATATTCCCAAAGACGGCAGCAAAAGCTGCAAACTTACGAACGTCATGGGCACGGGGATAGACCTATCCCCGCAGACTGGCTGGACTTAATAACCCTGTGGACGACCTGGGAGACCCGAACCCGCGAACAGGGAAGAAGGGAAACCGGATCAACCCACAGTGCGTCCCCGGACACAGAAGCCGTGGCACGCAAATAATGGCGAAGCGCCGCAACCGGACACAAAACATGATGCACCCTCCGGCCTGACCAACCAAGCATCAACCACCCATGGACCCCTCCGGAACGCAGCAGTCTCGTTTTTCGCCAGAAAAGGAGACGGCTGCAAGCAAACAAAACAATCACCACGACCAAAAGAGCAGAAACCCCTGCGCCGGAGGAGAGCATGAAGCTCCCCTACCCGACCCCCAGAGGCCAAAGCCAACAAGAAAAGTGCCTTGGAAAAACAATCCTGGACCGAAGGGGCCACAACGAAACGAGGAGACGAAAGGAAAGCGAGCACTCTGTACAAAGACCAGGACGGCTCAGGTGGCGCACGAGCAGGCCGGAGGTGAAACAATGCACGAGACAGCTTGCAAAACGGCGCAGACATAACATCGATACCGAAGGCAAGCTGAAGCGGCTCCGCCAGTGCCGCACGATACGAGGCGACAGTGTTAGGCATAAGATGACGGTCCTGAAACAACCACGAGAGAAAGGCCAAGACCATCCGAAAAGACAAGGAACTAACACGACGAAGACGCAAAAAGAAACAGAAGGACCGCCAGGAAACTTCATACTGCCGCCGAGAAGAAGCCCTCAGGTGGGACACCAACAAGGAGGCCACCTGATCACCATAGAGATGATGATAGACTCGAGTCAAAAAACCCATACGCGAAGACTCGAGGAGAAGATCGAATCAGCCACGTGACGTACCGGCCTGATCTGCTGAAAGAGGCGGAGCTGCGGGAAAACCCTCGGGTTCGGACACCGAGCAACCAGCGCCTGAAACCAAGGCTGGGCCGGCCACCAAGGGGCCAGAAGGACAACTCTCCCCTGGTAAGTCTCTAAGCGAGTCAGGACCTGGAGCAACAGCCGAACTGGGGGAAAGAGGTACAGGAACCCCCACCTCGACCAGTCTAGCCGAAAGGCGTCGACCCCGATGGCCTCGCGATCAGGGAAGGGCGCCGCATAAACGGGAAGACGCCGCGACCACGCCGACGCGAAGAGGTCCACCTTGGGGCGCCCGAACGTCTGGCAAAGCCAATGGAAGGACTCGTCGTTGACCGTCCACTCCGTGGAGAGGGGAACAAAGCGAGACAGGGCGTCGGCCAAGACGTTGGACATGCCCCGTATGTGAACCGCCAGGAGAGGCAACCCACCAAAGAACTCAGCAGACGAGTCACCCAAAGCGACCAACCCCAAAGAAACAAGGACCTTGAGGTTATCTTGAGATGATTTCGGGGCTTTAGTGTCCCCGCGGCCCGGTCCTCGACCAGGCCTCCACCCCCAGGAAGCAGCCCGTGACAGCTGACTAACACCCAGGTACCTATTTTACTGCTAGGTAACAGGGGCATAGGGTGAAAGAAACTTTGCCCAATGTTTCTCGCCGGCGCCTGGGATCGAACCCAGGACCACAGGATCACAAGTCCAGCATGCTGTCCGCTCGGCCGACCGGCATCGAACCCCTGCGGTTCAGGCAATGAACCACCAGAGAGCAGTCCGAATGGAGCCGAATCGTCGATCCGCGGGCCACCCGAATCCTCCCCAGAGCAAACCACACTGCCGCGAACTCCCGCACCGTGCTGTGAGCTCGACGGAAGGATGGATCCCAACGCCCCTGGCCAGCCTGGTGAGCACTGGTCACAAAACCCCAGCCGAGAGACAACGCATCCGTGTACACATCGAGCGAGGGGCTCGGGTAGGAGCCAAGGCACTGAACCCCCCAAAAACCCGAAGAGGAAGCCAGTGACGCAGCAACCAACGCAAGGCCCCCGGGGGTCGAACTCTGCGACCGCGAGAGGCGGAAGGGGGGACCCCGAAGGAACCAGAACAGCCGACAAAGCCAAACCCGACCCGGCGGGTAGACCACCATCGCGAAGTTCAGGCTCTCGCACAGCCCCTTAAGCAACCGCCGGGTGACCTGAGGGCCCTTCAGAAACAGACGAAGGCGGGACCGCAGCCACAGGAGAGACTCCAGAGGGAGAGACAAGGAGGCGGTTCGAGAGTCCCAAACGAGACCCAGCCAAGTCCGAACCTGAGAGGGAACCAGATGGAACTTCCTCCAGTTCACCAAGAACCCGAACCCGGTGAGCTGGGAAAGAACCAAATCCCTGGCTAGCAAGCAAGCTGACCGGCTGGGAGCCCAAACCAGCCAGTCGTCGAGGTAGGCCAACACTCGAACACCTAGGAGACGCAAACGAGCCACCACAACCCGTGTAAGGCGCGTGAACACGCGGGGTGCCAGGTTCAACCCGAACGGGAGAAAACGAAAGCGGTAACTCAGACGCTCCACAACAAAACCGAGCCAGTCCCTGAACAGTGTATGAATCGGGACATGCCAATAAGCGTCCCGGAGGTCCAGGGACACCATCCAAGAGCCCGGCTCCAAGAGGAGCCGAACCTGAGACAGCGTAGTCATCTGAAAGGAGGAGCAATGAACCCAGGGGTTCTAACGGGACAAGTCCAGAATGAACCGCAGGTCTGCACAGTCCCGTTTCGGAACCGGAAACAGACGAGAAACCCATCTGAGGGACGACGTCGTTTCGACGACGCCCAAGCATACCCACTTCAAGACGACTCGACAGAGCGCAGGGGAAGAAACCTGCCCTGCCAGCCCCGACTCCCCCAAGGGGGGAGGGGCCACCCAACGCCACCGCAGGCCGCGAGACACGACCTGAAAGGCCCATGAATCGTGGGACCAGGCACGGGCGAACAGTGCAAGCCGCCCCCCATTGCCCCGTCAATGGGGCAAACCACGAAAGGGCCGGCGACCCTTACGAGACCCAGAACCCCGCACAGAGTGAACACCGCGTCGACCAGACGAGGGAGGGTCCGCAGGAGCCAAACCCGAACCTGACACCAGAGGCCTACCACGACGAGAGGAACCCCGAGCCCTGGCACGACCCTTCCGGGAAGACCCACCCCGGGACCCCCGGAAAACCAACAAGTCCGACATCAGACGACAAGCCGCCGACGCAGCCTGAATAAACTGCACCACGGCCGACTCCTCAAACAGAAGAGGACAAAAAGGTGAAGAACGCCGAAGAGCCAGAGCCCAAGCAGATTCCATGGAGGAACCCAGCACCGTCTGCCGACACGCGAGACGGGAAGCATAAAACAGGGAAACCGCATCCTGCAAAATCGGCGTGAACAGCTTCAACACGGCAGCCGACGAACGCGCAGCTGAGGACAAGGTGCCGGACCCCGGGACGGACCCAAGCGTCCTCACATCCTCCACGAGCCAATCCGAGGACAGCTCCAGGAGGGAAAAGAACCGCAAGGCCGAAGCCAAAAGGCCCCGGGCGGGCAAGTCCTCCGCAACGAGCGCCACCGAAAGAGTGGGAACCTGCACATGGAGCTGAATAACACCCACATCGCGGGGAAGGGCAGGGGCTAACAAGCACTCATTCAGGTACTCAAGCTCGCCCCCCAGGAAAACCTGAAGCACCGTGGAAGCTTCCCGTCACTCCAGCGTGGAGGAACGACAGAAGGAATGCCAGGAATCCAGAACAAACCAGGGGCAGTCTGCTAGCCAGGAAGACTCCGGAACCTCATAACGGAGCCAGAAAGGGAACGAAGTCC